CCCCCCCCCCCCCATCGTTATAGGGTTTAATTGTATGTATCGAGATCAATGCTTGATCTCTAACATTTTGTATATATTTATTTATATTTATTTATTCTGTATGGTAATCGTATTCAGAGAGGGGTTGAAGGGAGCTCTAGTAAGGGGAGGGATAACTGTTATGGCGATATGTAAAGGAATAGTTTTTTATAGATTCTCAAATTTAAAGTGTCCATAGTGGATATTGAGATCAAACGATCGAGATTATGAGTGTCTAATACACCAATATACTCCCAGCTTAGATTCAATTGTTTTTCAATTCATTCCTTATCATATATATAGGCTGTAAATTAAGCAGAGATTCCAATCAACTTGTTTAGGAAAACCAAGGATGGAGATTATTATAAATTACTTTTTCTTTGTTTTCCGATTTGCTTGCTATCCAATCCACTATATATTCACTATTTCACCTTTATGCTGTGAACATTCCCTATTTTAAGTTTTTTATTGGATGTCGTATTTTTCAACCTTTTAATCTTATTCCAGCTTGATATATCGATGATCAATATATGTATATAATGTATGTATATATTTAGTATATATTTTAAATATTTACTTATCTCTTTATATTATTGTCTACTTATAATTTATTCTTTTCTACAAATGTGCGTATATTAGCATGCTTCATTCACAATGATACCCTTTCAACCTTTACTTGAGTAAAAATGTGGAAGATATTGTCGTTTTTCTTTGTTGACTAGTTTATAATTGCAAGTCTATATGAAAAGCCACAATTGAAAACTATCAATTTTCTGATATCTTTATTTTTCCTGATCAGACAAAGGATTATTTGGTACCATTGTGAATTTGATGCTATAAATGGAGGGTCACTTAAGTAAGTGTACACATTAACCCTTAAAAGTCTTTTTTATTATTTTTTGTGTGTTTATTTTCATTTAATTGAGAGCTAGGAGCAAATTGGAAATTCCCATGTTTTGTGATTATACGTACTTAGCTTAGATAAGATTAAAGAGACTGCTCTGCCATCTACGAGTTGCTCTAAGAGCAAACTACTGTAATTATATTGATCTAGGATAACTGATATATCTGTCTTACAACGAGTTACTCTAAGAGAAAACTACTGTAATTATATTGCTTTAGGATCATTAACAGCTATATCTGTTTTAGAACTAGTTACTCTAAGAGAAAACTAATGTAATTTATATTTGCTCTTAAATCAGTATCAGCTATATCTGTCTTACAAAGAGTTGCTCGAAGAGCAAACTACTGCTCTTGTATCATTATTAGCTAATTTGTCTATCTATTAGTTGCTGCTCTAAGAGCAAAATACTGCTCTTGTATCATTATTAGCTAATTTGTCTATCTATTAGTTGCTCTAAGAGCAAACTACTGTAAATTATAACTGCTCTAGGATAACTATCAGCTACTCTGTCCTACTAAGAGTTGCTCTTGGAGCAGAACTACTCTATGGTGATCATGAAGAAAACTCTGGAAAATTCTCGGCCACCAGGTGAGCCCTCGAGCTCAGACCAGGTGAGCCCTCTAGCTCAGACCAGGTGAGCCCTCTAGTCAGAGCTATTCATGCCATCAAACTGTGATTTTTCCTAATCAATCTAAGTTTGAAACACCAAAGGTTTACACCTTCAGGTTCTAACAGAAGGATTAGAAATTTGAGTGTGTGGCAAAGACTCAATAACTTTAATGATTTAATGTTTCCAAAGAAATCAAATTTACACAATTTCTGTTGGAACAAAAAAATAAATATTTAAAGAAAAACTTCATTTTCAAAAAATACAGCTTGCATAATTTCCAGATGGTTCTCATGTATTCAATAACAAAATCAAATATCTGCAGAATTCCATTATCATGGTAGGTTATGAAAACGACATTTTATGTATTTTTTTGATTTCTTCAATGTTCTAGGTTATACTGTAGTATCCTAGTAATTCAAAATAGTTTCTTCTCCTCAAAAGCTCTTTAACGAGTTTGAATGAAAACATGTAAGATTTATAAACAAAGGGAAAGGAAATGAGTTTTTGCCACAAACTCTAATTTGTAATTCCTTTGTCTTTGCAACCCGATGTAGTAGACCTTAGATATTACAAACTGTGAATTTTGTTAGATTAAAATGTCTAAGTTTTAAATATCAAAAATTTATGGCATTGAATGGGATAGTTAAAAACGTCATTATGTCCGATGTAACATTAATTCAATTAGGTCTATTGTCATTTAATGAACAGGGCCAAACTCTTATAGTCACAACCAACCGAGGTAATAATGCAAGGAAAGACGGATGTCTGCAGCCTGACATGGAATCCATTTTCACATAAAAAATCAATGAAATTTTCTGGTCATAGGGAACTATTACATGAATTTTCAAAATTATCAAAATTTAATGCTTTTAACCTCCTCGGATACTAAACGAACACTGATGCATCTATTCTTGTTTACAAATTCCGCCCAGAGAGAACTGGTTTTAATATGTAAGCAGAGACACGACCGCAATTAACTATCCTTGCATTAGTACCTTGGTCACAACCAGGATAAGATGGAATACGAGTACTTTGAAATTCTCATAAAGCATAAAGGATTTGAAACTTTACCACAAACTCTGATATTCTAATTCCTTTATCTTTGCAACCCAATGTCGTAAACCTTTAATATTTCAAACTTTTGATTGTGTTACAGATCAATAAACTCATAGTTTGAAGTATTAAAGGTTTGAATAATTGGATTGCAAAGATATAGGTAGTAGAAGTTTTGAGTTTGTGACAAAGACTCAATTCCTGTGCAACAGAAAATCTACAGTTAAAAATGATTGAAATTTTAACAACCAAAAAATAATATATTTATTATTGAAATAGACTTAGGTTTAAATGCTACCGTTGTGGCCCGTACATACCACTCTATAAATAAAGGATAACTAGAAGTAACGTGAACAGTTCCTTTATCTAAAATTACGTCTACAGTCCATTTATTTTAAATTATGTCTACAGTCCCTTTATTTGAAATTACGTCTACAGTCCCTTTATTTGAAATTATGTCTACAGAAATTATGTCTTTTGTCCCTTTATTTGAAATTATGTCTACAGTCCCTTTATTTGAAATTATGTCTACAGTCCCTTTATTTGAAATTATTTCTACAGTCCCTTTATTTGAAATTATGTCTACTGTCCCTTTATTTGAAATTATTTCTACAGTCCCTTTATTTGAAATTATGTCTACAGTCCCTTTATTTGAAATTATGTCTACAGTCCCTTTATTTGAAATTATGTCTACAGTCCCTTTATTTGAAATTATTTCTACAGTCCCTTTATTTGAAATTATGTCTACAGTCCCTTTATTTGAAATTATTTCTACAGTCCCTTTATTTGAAATTATGTCTACAGTCCCTTTATTTGAAATTATATCTACAGTCCCTTTATTTGAAATTATGTCTACAGTCCCTTTATTTAGTCCCTGTTTGAGCCTGCTGGTCGCTGTGTTATTAAACACTGGAAAGTTCCTAGAAGTGGAGCTAGGGGAACTATGCTGGGATTTCAGGGAATCAGCTGGAAATTGATGAATTGTGAGACCTGAGCTGGGAACTTTTGATTGGTGGATATCGGGATTAATACTTGATCCACTCTTTTTCTTTATCTTGAGATTAAATAATGCTTGTTCTCCTCTTGTTATTAATCTCCAGATTAATTAACTGATCGGGATTAAGGATATCCCATTCAAAAGTTTTCAGCTCTGTCCTGAAAACTGGATATCGAGATCAATGCTTAATCTCCTATTTTTGTTAATCTTAAGATTATATTAATCTTTAGTTTGTTTCCCGGAAAGTTTCTAAAATATAACCAATCTTAGTGGTGTATCCAGAAACCGGGAAATTTTAAATTTTTTATGTTCATTGGACTTTTATTTTAACGATAACATTGGACTTTTATTTTAACGATAACATTGGACTTTTATTTTAACGATAACATTGAACTTTTTAAGTAACGATAACATGAGTCAAACAGTCGTTTTCCTATTCCACAGTTTTATGAGCTCAACTGTATTCATATCTTTAACATTACACCCTTTTACTCTGAATAAACATCCGATCATGTCTTTAAAAAATTCAAAACTTTAAATTATTTTTATCAGCTTTAGCTTTTAAAAAGTAATTATAGCAAATTGTCAACAATTTTTGATTTTTTTTGAACTTATTGTTTCATGCTTTTAAATAAGCGTTTTGTTTTGATTTAACTTTGTCATTTATTGTTTGATGCGGGAACATGTTATTATTTAATATTTTCAAGCATTAATTTTTATACATAAAACATAAATTGTCGACATTTTCCCTGGCAACACATTTTTACTTTCATAAACTGAAACCTTCCATGATTAATGTAAATTGCCACAAAAAAATGAATTCGATCGGTTTAGTTGTTTTGGCGTTTATTGGATATCAAACAGACAAACAAGCTAAATTTATAAATGCACTGTTTGTAATTTATTCTGTGATAAAGAACATTTTATTTTTTATTTATTTTCGAGCGGATAGTGCAATTTGCAAACACAATTTGTCGACATTTTTTATCAGGGCAACATTTTTAAATTTAATAGACTTAAACCAATTTCTTGGATTCATGTGAGTATAGATAGACAACAAAGCAAATTCTGGTGTTCTCATATTGTTTTGCTATGTTTGTAATTCTTTTTATAAAGAATGATATATACTTTGGAGAAAAAAACTCAGCGGGAGCGGTTGAACCAGCGGTTGAGATCTAGCCTAGACTCTACGCAGTTCATAATAAGAAATTAAGAAGAAATTTACAATTTGTTCACTAAATCACACTTTTTCAACAAATGAAATATAATTTTTCATGAATAACGTTTTCAGATTTTTTAGCATTTTTTTTAAGTGCCTTTTTTCTTAAACTAAATGTTGTCTTGTCTTTTCCTGCGCTTTCCTTAGGATTTCCTGTTTTCAAAACATATTTTATATTTGATGTAACTTCAAAATTGGGCTTTTTTAAAATTTTCAATTTGAAAAAACCCCCAAAAAACAAGATTTTGAATTCGGAAAAAACCCAAAAGAACACTCTGTAATTTAGTTTTGAATCTATAGAATTGTCAATTTTTTTGCTGGAAAAAAATTTAAAGATTTTTTGGAATCTTCTTTCAAAGATCTAAATAACTAAAATATGAAAAGTAAAGTTTTGAAGATAATTAAATAATAATGAATTACCAAAGTTTTTTAGATTTGCATGTTTTACAGGTCACCCTGTACAAAAAAAAATTCATAAATTGAATTGAATATAATTACAATTAAGTTTTGTTTTGACAAGATCCTTCTAAAACAACTTCACTAATAGTTAATGGTCTCGTCAGTCGTCACTAATAATGGGTTTAAATCGCAACCTTTCCTGGATTCATGTGAGCCAGACAGACAAATGCTGGTGTTCATATATTTGTAATTTATTTTTTGATGGAGACCATTTATTATATTTTCAAGCTGATTCTTTAGAGGATGTAGCTGTGGTTATTTTCACCAGTAAGTTACAATATCTTGAACAGAGATTTCCACAAGAGATAATACTTTAAAGGAACTGTAATACAAGCGTAGTTTTGAATAAACAACTTTATACAGAAATAAATGTACTACAAGAGTTTGAATGTTTCTGAAGATTTTGCCAAAACCTTGGGGTCTGGGTAGGATTTATGTTTTTTTTTTGGAATTGCAAGTTTACTAGAAATCAAGTATTTTTATTTGACAGCTTCTCATTGTTTTCATGTTTATGTGTATTCATGCTGTTTAAAAGCTTGATATAAATCAAGATTGATTGTATTGATATATGCAACGACGACTGTACTGTATTATTTTAGATATTTTATCAAAACAACTTCAATCTGGAGTAATGAGACTTACGTGTATCTTTACGCTTCAGTCACTTGGATAATCTGCACAGGTAAAAGGGACTGTATACGTAATTCTATGTTAAAAGGGGCATTTACACGTATTTTAATTAGATCTTTATAGCAGTAGGTTCCGGTACCTCTTAGAAGGGCTATTAGATAACAGGGAGTAGGATATCGTCGTTTATATGTCTGAAACAGATAAAACCTTTCTTTTTCCTTCCTTACTTTGGGAATTATCTTAAAGGGAGTGACCGGCTATGTAAGGTAGTTGTGAGTATGCAGTGCTGTGGAAAACTTCTTTCGGATTCATTTAGACATATTAAACTTTTTAAAGATCTGTAAATTCTGAGTTTGAGCGCAAATTCGACGTTCAAAATTCCTACTTTGTGGGTGGATACTTTTTCAGAATTGTTTTTTTGTAATTATTAAATAACGACAACGAAAAATAAAGTAAAATTTATAAAGTAATCTAATCAGATGGATAGGAACATATTTCTCAAAAAAAGAAATTTGTCAATAAATCAATGCTTAAATCCATTATTTCATTATTATATTGAATTTCTTATCTTCTTTAAATTTATTTGCAGATTTCTTCAAATTCTTCAAATGTCGTCTTTATTGTAGCACTTTTTTTACATTTATATCGTCGTTATTTAATAATTTCAAAAAACTTATTCTGAAAACATATCCACCCCTTTCAGGCTGAAAGGGAGTTTAAAGTGTAAAAATCATGTAAATGTTCACAAATTATATACAATGAGTACAATAATACAGTATGTTCCCTAGACTATCCATTTCAATTTCGATTTTTTAAAGCTGTTAATTAAACTTTATAAAATGAATTAGGTGAATAAAAAACATCATTTGATTTATAGTTATAACGGAAAATCATCGTTTGTAAAGTGAAAGGCATAATTTGGTTTTCTTTTGATAGTAATTTTAGATTTTCTATAAAATGATGTTCTAGGGCCCAAAAGGTTATATAGCGCAAATATGTGAAGTACACCTGCAGTATGGAAACAGTACAACAAAATGGCCGTTTTACACTTTGTAATAAATTCCACACTAATATATTTATATTCTATTCTCTTGGTTATGAATCCTTCAATCGGCGCTATCAGTAAATGGACATATTTACTTCTACTGAATCTAAAGAGAAAAACTTGTTAAGTCATGTTTGTGTCTTCTGTCTTCGATGACAATGATGAGACAAAGAATACATTAATGGTACCTTTGTCATTGGAACCTGATAAAGTGAAAGTTTATATAAAAGTTTGAATAAGGGTTTCCAAACCAGTTTCCAACGCAAGTAGATTCTACTTAAAGGGACAGTAAAGGAACAATGAAAGGGGGTATAGGCTGAAAGCTAATCACTTTAGCTTTTGATCGCGACCCATGAAAGTTATATCTGATGTTCCTGTCTCGAGAAACTGATATAAAACTGTGTTAAAATTATACGAAAATTCAAATATGTAAAATTTTGAAAATCTGAAACTTAAATCACGTGACCAGAACTATCACCAATAGCAAAGCAGTATACCCGGTCATAAATAACAAGTGTACTGCAGTTTTCAGAGGTAAATAACAAGTGTACTGCAGTTTTCAGAGGTAAATAACAAGTTACTGCAGTTTTCAGAGGTTCATGGATTTAGATATAACCTTGCTCGTGGATTTCTTTCTTGATTAGGATGACGACATTTAACCGCAATAAAGAAATATTTTCAGGTGACATTAGTGAAGTCGAGCTGACCCCCTACCAACCAAATCATGTTCACAAACTCCGTAAAGCAATGAGGAAGAACATGCCAAAATTTATTTATTGGTTAATAAAATTTTCAGGTTTTTTAGATATTGAGAAATCTAAAACTGTAGAGTTTTTCTTTCTTCATTTTAAGTACAGTGAAACCCCCTAATAACGAATACATCGGAAGAATTTATCAAATGTCGTCTTGACAATTTTTCAATGAGTTTTATACTATATTACGTAAATTATTTGCGAAAGTAAATAAATAGCCATGAATTTGAGAGAACAGTTTTAAAGAGTTCCATATAATCATTTAATTAAAAAACTAAATATCCGCAACATTCCATTATCAGAAAGTGAAAAATACGACTTTGATGAATTCTTTCGATGTTTCACTGTATATAATTCTTAAAATCACAACTGAAGGTGTGGTTTCTTTCAGCATTTTAAAATGTTCATCTGATATTAAGATCAATCTCACCAAAAAAGTTCCGATTTCTGATACTTTCAATGAAATAATTCTTTTTAATTTTTCATTTACAATTTTCTGATGTTCACTATTCAGATTGTATTATGTTATGGGAATCTGCTTCGTGGTTGTCTACATACCCAGGTAAGATTTACACACGCACCTAAAAGTAAATTCAACCTATATGAAGCATAAAGCCTGACCGTGTCAACCTTGTTGCACCGGCTAGTCCTGACCATAGAGTTAGGCACAGTACAAACTGGGACCGGAAAGATTGACTCGGCTCTGAAAATCAAATGAGGGGAGTGCTAGATTTATTTCTGAACAAAATAATCCTGATTCAGGAACCAAAAGACGCGTCGTATTAAGATAGATATTGTTTTCTGTTTTGTACTAGATTTTCTTTCCCTTGATTGCTATTGAGAAGTTATTCTGAAATCTCAGGGAGGGGCTACCTACGCCCCCCCTGAATCAGTCAGAGGGGTGCAAAGGTCCTGCCGGCCCCTTGTACACGCCCCTGGTAGGTTTTAAAATAAAGTGTTCCTATCCAAGCTATCCTCTGTTCTTAATCCTTTATCTCATTATTTTAATAATTATCATAAATAAACAATTTTAAACCTTGAAAAACCGACATTAATTTCCACATTATTGATCAGGCAAAGATTTCAAGGGCACCATTGTGAATGCAGCATTGTCCTTTGTAAATATAGGGTCACTTTAAAAATGTTGATTTGTTCAGGACATGTGCCAGTTGTTTTGAGTTCTATTCCGTGGATAAGGCAGTAATATCATAAACAATAAATAAAAAAACTTTTTTATTTCTTCTTTATCTCTCCTATTTTTATTCCTAATTCCACTTTAGTTAACTTGTATACTATACCATTATTTTAAATATTCTAAAATGTATTCAAAAAGAAAACATGAAAAGAAATATGAAATTTGATATTGTCATATTTTCTCCTCAATTTTGTTATCACCGCAATTTGAAACCATACCCTGGAAACTGTTATATAATGTATAAAAGAAACAAACTCAAATTTGTTAATCCTAATTCTTTGCAATCTGATGAACCTTTGATATTTCAAACTTAACTTATTTGAGCAATGCAGAATACTTTGTTGTAACATCTAAGGTTTACGACATTGGATTGCCAAGATATAGGGATTAGAAAATTCAAAGCTTCAAAGACTCAATAAATTCAACAAATTCTTAAAAATATTGCCAATTCAAAATTGTAACAAATAAACTAATATATCTAGAATTGTTTAGTTTTCCTTACGTTAAAGTCAACCCTGAAAAAAAATTCTGGTAAAATTTAATTTAAAACAAATATTTTCGAGGAAAAAAGAATAATTCTGAAAATTAAATTGATTTTTAAACTTCAGAAAATTATTTCTTGTCAAGTTTAGACTTACTTTCTCTTCCATAGATGAAAGTTTAGCAAAAATTTCACTTCAAGGGACTGTCTACGTAATTTCACTTCAAGGGACTGTCTACGTAATTTCACTTCAAGGGACTGTCTACGTAATTTCACTAAAAGGGACTGTCTACAAAATTTCACTAAAAGGGACTGTCTACGTAATTTCACTAAAAGGGACTGTCTACGTAATTTTAAGCAACTCCCCCCCTCTCCCATGGTTGCATACCCGGTTCGTGACGATATACCCTTTTACACTTTATCAGAGCCGTATGTGAGGGGATCAATATAAAACCGTTTAGTTTTAAACCCTAACAATTTGTTTCTTTTTTTCAATTGGAAATTATCGAAACTCAGACAGAAAAAATAAATATTTCTTTTTTAAGGGTAACTTTGAGAATTGTGCATGCCCCCCTTTTTTAATATGAAGGATCCCGCGAGATCATGTTGACAGCCCCTTTAACCCTGTCACCAGGAGGGGGGGGGTTTCCTCTTCCCCACTTCGTTTTTTCTAAATAATTTAAAAACGTCTGACATTAGAACGTTCAAACTTCTTCACTTTTTTAACATCATAGCTGTGAACAAATTTTGCAATATTACGGGTTCGGTTTATAACTTTTTTATTAATTAGGCTACAGGGCTAACATTTTTATGTTACTATTTTTCATAATCAAAATAATTATTTTGAACCATTTTTTCGACGTACTTTTTAAACTTTATCAAAATTCCCCTTTGCACCATGTCCTTAACAATTTTAGTTAGAGGTTTAATTTCTATTTAATGAGCAGACCTTGAAAAGTTAGACTAAGGATATGTATCACACTCCCCTATCTCACCTCTAGTGCAAAATCATATAGGGGGTTGACCTCCCCCCCCACGGTGGGGTCAGGGGGGTGACTGGTTTTTGTCACATACTTATACCTTTCATACATTTTTCTTTGAATGGATCCTGTTAACCCTCAATATATTTAGATGTTGTTTTTGTTTAAGCTTACTATTTCGGGGAAAAAACAAATACTCTTTAGCTTTTTTACACAAAATTACATCGTATTCAAGATAATCTAGATCTATAATAGATTCTAACCGCCATTAATCAAAGATGTAGAGGCGCCACGAGCCCGCTCAAGTACTGGTTTGGTCTCTGATTCGTGTATAAAAAACCCCATTTTAAGAGTTTTCACGGAAATTCCCAGTTTTCCGTCATATTTTAGAACTTCAACACAACATTACGAGGACTTAGAGACTTCTCTCAAAAAATATTACTCAAGCGACCGACCCATTTTTTGACTTGAATAATAGGTTTAAATTGTAAACATTGCGTTATAACCCCCTACCCCCTGATATCCAATTGTGGCCCCTATATTAGACCAAAATAGCCATGCCCGGACAGGATTAATGCATAGAATGACCAAAAAGCAAAGATATTGAATTCAAAATTTTACTTCCAAAATTGTGTTTAATGGTTGGCTGGAGTAGATACTTGAATGCCGAAAACTGAATCTCGATTTCTCGCCGCTCTGGTTTCTCTACTCTTCTAGCATAAACCAGGGTCTTCAGGTAAATTTTCAAAAAAAATTTAATTTTCAAAAAAAAATTTAATTTTCAAAAAAAAATTAATTTTCAAAGAAGATTTCAAAGTTTGAAAAAAGGTTTCAAAGTTTGAAAAAATATATTATATAGTTTGAACGAAATATTTCAATGTTTGAAACAAATGTGTGTGCCAATTCCCTGGTAACACTTTGTGACCTCGTAGCTCCTCTAGTATTTATTTTACTCACAAGGATGAAAAAGCAAATTTATCCGGGGCTACATTATAAACTAAAAATATTTTGTTCATCTCAAAAACTCTTTAACTCGTTATGTTTATGTATGTTCAGGTGGTTCTTGCATCAAGCAATACAGGGATTATTATGCTCTCGCACAGACTCAATATACAGTAATGTACACAAGAAGTAAACAAAGTACATGGAAGTAAACATTCCAAATAAACAAAGTGCATGTGAGTACACTACAAAGAAACAATGTATGTGAGTACACTGCAAAGAAACAATGTACATGTGAGTACACTCCAAAGAAACAAAGTACATGTGAGTACACTACAAAGAAACAATGTACATGTGAGTACACTTCAAAGTAACAAAGTACATGTGAGTACACTCCAAAGAAACAATGTAGATGTGAGTACACTCCAAAGAAACAAAGTACACGTGAGTACAATACAAAGAAAAAAGTACATCATGTGAAATTAAAAGAAGCAATGAACTTATAACAATGTGCGAAGTACTTAGTGCACATAATGAAGTTCAGTGCATGTTTACAACGAGTACGTAAACCATATACTGCGATGAAGAAAGCTTATACAAGGAAGGAAAACATAGATATACAAGAATTTATCTAGGAAGGAAAACATAGATATACAAGAATTTATCTAGGAAGGAAAACATTGATATATAAGAATTTATCTAGGAAGGAAAACATAGATATACAAGAATTTATATAGGAAGGAAAACATAGATATACAAGAATTTATATAGGAAGGAAAAAGATATACAAGAATTTATATAGGAAGGAAAACATAGATATACAAGAATTTATATAGGAAGGAAAACATAAATATACAAGAATTTATATAGGAAGGAAAAAGATATACAAGAATTTATGTAGGAAGGAAAAGTTCAGAACTAAGGTACTGGATCATTTGAAAATGTTTTAAAACATACAGTTCACGATATTCTGTCAAATGAGTCTACCATATTCAGTACGTATTACGTTTAACATTACCTAAACTTCCTTATAGAGAAAGAAATCAACTCACAAGAATGTTAAATTGTCTTTTCGGTGGCCGAATTTAAAGAATTTGAGCGGCGGTTTAAATTTAAGCCGCGGCTTAAATATGGTTGGTTCCACTTAATATTGTATCAAATGTTTCAAGATTTAAGCCAGCGCTAAATTCAAACTGGGTTTTGGCGAATTTTGGCGGATTTAAACCGCAGCTCAAATTCTTTAAATTCCATCTCAGATCAGATATACTTATGCTCAAGTTCGGCATGGTGGCCGGTGGGAAAATTGTTTTTAATCTTTATGACAGAAACAATCCCAAGAATTAACGAGAGTCAACCCAGACCGAAATATATTTTCAATAAATGTGGAACTAACATCTACTTTTTTACACTACAGAGGTTTTGTCCTTCACCATCACCGAATTTTAAAAATTACAAATATATAATTCACAAGTATAGAAATGCTGAAAACTTTTGTTATTTTGACCAGCAAAAGCGTTTTGCTTTGCTCTTGAATTTTTAAATTGAAGAAGTCTTTTCCTTATTGTGGAGTTTTCCAGGGTTTGGTTTTTAAATGTGAGAAAAGGTTTCTCAGTGCAGTATCAACATTAAAATTATTAATATACACTTCAAAATGAGTTTTTCGATATTCTAGAAATACATGTTTCAAATTAATATTGTAAAACAAAATCAAAACTGTCTTTACATCTTTGAAATATTTGGTCTTGAGAATATTGAAATCAGTATTTTTATACAATATATTTTCTGATATAATTACATAATGTATTATGAACGTTAAATGTGTTATATAAAATCAAATTACCGAGGTGATGATTTTATGGTGTTCCGCCGATTCTAAAAATAAAATGGTATTATGTAAAAGGATCAAGGGGAGGTATTAGTATTCAATTTAGGTTTAAAATATGTTTGATTACTAATGCGAAACAAACTTACAATTTCTGAGATTTCTATTGATAAAAAAATTAAACCGTTAAAACACTTTCTTTTACTAAATAATTATATTGGTGCAAATAACGTTTATTCAAAACTTAATTTTTTCAAATATTTTTAACAAGATCTTTTTTGTATATTTTTAATGGTGGTGGTTGGTGTTAACTGATTAAATAAGAATACAGTACAGTTTTTAGTGACATGGTGATAAAAATATGTTTTGGGGGATTTCAAGTTCATTAAATAGTTGAATTTTACTTGGCTTTTCAAATCGATTTCTGTAAATAAATAAATAAATGTGATGTCGTTTCAATGTGTCCAAAAAGCTGTGAAAAACAAAATTGTTAAACATTTGTTGTGATTTGTAAATTGTGATGGAAACATATTTAACCAGTAATTATTGTTAAAAAGCATGTTGAGAATAAAAAAAGTTGATATGTTTACATATTATTTTGGCAAAGTTCATAGAGTACATATAAGAATATTTCAGTGTATGCATATAAATTTACAGAATACCATATATTTAGTCACCATAATTCGTTTTTAATGTTAGTGCACAGTTTTTGCAGAGGTTATCGTTAGTGGAAGGTGGACATAAATTAGACTATAATTAATTGCTCTGAGTTTTCATTATTTGTGTGGCAAAAAGTCGTTTTTGGTATTTTGAATGGTTTTCCAGCAAACCAATCAGAAAACAGTATTCTAGTAAGCCAATCAGAAAAAAAGGTTTCTAGTCAGCCAGTCAGAGACCAGTATTCTACTTAGCCAATCTGAGACCAGTATTCTAGTTAATCAATTAGAGCCCAGTATTCTAACCAGCCAACCAGAAAACAGTATTCTAGTCAGCCAATCAGAAAACAGTGTTCTAGTGAGCCAATCAGAGACCAATATTTTAATCAGCCAATCTGAGACCAGTATTCTAAGTTAACCAATTAGAGCCCAGTATTCTAGTCAGCCAATCATTAAACAATATTCTAGTTAGCCAATCAGCAAATAGTATTCAAGTCAGCCAATCAGAGACCAGTATTCTAATCTGCCAATCAGAGACCAGTATTCTGGTCAACCAATCAGAGACCAGTATTCTAGTAAGTTAATCAGAGACAAGTATACTAATCAGCAAATCATAGACCAGTTTTCTGCTAAGCTTATTAGAAAGCAGTATTCTGATTGGTTATTAAATTAAACTTGTGTAACATAATTGCCCGGGAAGGTTCCAAATATCCCAGTCCGTTGTGATGTTCCCACAAACCAACCATCGTCACATTTCTCCATTACGAAAACAACATCGCCTGAATAAAAAAAAGATTTAAGTTGCGTACAGGGTGTCCCAAAAAATGATAATATGCACTGGTGACCAGAAAACTCGCAACTCATGTCCTCTTTATTATTCAACTGTAAAAAGGAATGTCATTAGCATTTTGTTCGCTCGCGAAAATGCGAAAAATTTTCGCGAAATTTCGCTTCAATTTGTTTCGCGAAAAATACTAAGCAAATATTGCGAAAATTTCAAAAATTCAGCTTTTTAAGTGGAATGGGTCTGTAAACATTGTAAAATAGCAGTGTTTCTATTCCACAGTTCTGCTGTAGAATTTAACATTATTTCTGTTTACCTTCAAATAACTCAACTTCATCTTCATTCTGTGGTTTGTAATTGTACATAGCTCTGAACCTAATTTTAAAGATATAAATAAACATAAAAATTCATCAATAACTGTGGAATTGATTTTAAATTATTAAGGAAAATGTAGGAATAAAGGAGATCTATTTATTTGATTCCACTTGTACTCAGGCACACATGTACGCTTTCTTTATTACTCAATTGCATATGGGTTAAAGAACTAAAGAGCTGGGTTAGGGTGAAAACAAGGATTAGTTGAATGTCCTTACGGTTGTGGTTGAGGTTTATCCTGGTGACCAGAGAGAGAGGAGGTAGGACGGGATAGGGTTGAGTAGGGGGACATCGTTCCAATAGATCTAGTAGCATCATTATTATCATTAATTATATATGACTCAAATATGCTATCCGATCCATGCATTGTAATCTGTTGAAGAACTATTCATATATCTAAGCAATCTAATTTTTAATAACAATTCAAATATGATGATTGGTTGTTAAACCGTAATTTCAAGTGACCCTTCAAGCAAAGATGGCAATAGCGACTTATATATTAATGTTCATAATTTTGAAAACTGATCATTTTCAACTGAGGTTTCTCTACAAAAGGTATTTGCGCATTTCTACTGCAGGGAATGTATCGGAATTAAATATTTTTAAACCTGTAAAAAACAACGATATCCTCCACCTTATTGATGCGATAAAGGTTTTAATCGGGCACTGCTATCTTTGCGCAGGTGCTCATTTGACAGTCTCTTAAAGATAATTTAATTCTACCTGGATAAGTCCATATTATTAGGTATATAAGAAGAGGAAGGTTGGATTCCAGTTTTCAGAATAGAATGGGCAGCAGGGGTTCCAGCAGGCTTAATATTCTCTTCATTCTCAACCTTTAAATATGATTATAATTGTATTATAATCACCGTGAACTAGACAGTGGAGAAAAATAAAATTTGGGACGACTTTGTAACCTTGTAGTTCCTCAAGTTTAGAATTTATGCTCAAGTATGAAATGCAAATCTATCCGATTTATTTATCAAAATTCCATTGTTCATGAAGAGGAGATAGGATGGAAAACGTGAACCTTAGTTTAGTTTAGTGACGTTCATGCAGTGTGGTTGTGTTGAATCATATTAAAGTTACGAAATATTAAAAATTGCATCGTAAGATGAGACAACTGCCACACTTTTAGTTTAATATCTCCATATTTTTACATCCTGTAGGGGAAAATTCAAACTTTGACTCGATAATTCAACAGAAATCATAGTTTGAAATAACTTACAACTTCGGGTTGCAAATATATTGGAATTAGAAAATTAGAGTTTATGGCAAGAACTCAGGTTCTTTTTAGACTAAAGATAAGTAGTTAAACTATGTATGACTAGTCCAACTACTATTTACTAGTATCACTGAGAATAAAATCAGCTTGAATAAGTAATGGTTTAATTTGATCTTTGTCGCTGAATAAACTAAAATTTTGGTGAAAATATTTTGTCCAAAGTTACAAAACAAAGATATATTCTGAATCCAATCTTTAAAATTACAATTTCTCTATTTCAAATTACAGTACTATACAGAATTCCTCATAATATTGTTCAATTCAAACCAAAGATACGTGAAGACAAGAAGCTGTTTCAAATTTCTCAAATTGTCTAATCCCGATATCTATGCAACCTGATGGTGTAAACCTTTGATATTTCAAGCAATTCATGATTTAAAATATCCAAACCTGGATTATTTCATCTTACAGTTTAAAGGACAACGACATTAGGTTACAAAGGTTTAATTGTATTATCGGAATGCATTAACAGTATGTAGATGTGAGAAGCATAAATAAAAATCAAATCAAAAGATTATTTAGAAAACAAATGAAGAAAAAATGTACACTCGTTATTTTTAAAACTGCGTAAAAAGTAGAATATTTAACAAACGACAAATATTACAAAATTTAAAAAGATTAAAAATATTTAAGTTAAAAAAGCAGGTTATACAATATTACACAAATTTGATACGTTTGATAAAAATTTTCAATCGTTAAGCAAAATTAAAAAGTAAAACGAACAAAATTATATTCAAAAAATATTTGAATAGAAAAAATAGAATTTGATAAAAATATACTTACTTCAACATAAGAAACAGGGAATATTCCTTTTCTGCTTCCGATCCTTCCTTCAAACCAGTTTTTATCTATCCGACGCGTTATCGTTAGCAGCTCTCCTGTTGTATTATATTTTTGATTGTTTATTATTATTATTATTATTATTATTATTATTATTGTTATTATTATTTATATTGTTATTATTATCATTATTATTATTATGATTATTATTATTATTATTATTATTATTTTTATTATTATTATTATTTTTATTCTCACCTTTGATCAACGAGAGCTCCATAGGGGTTTGTGCAGCAAAATTAAACTTTGCTCTCCCCAACTCTCCTTCCATACTCTTCTCTTTACGAACCAGGCTTCGGGTCTAAATCATACAATTAAAGAGACTGTGTATTAAATTTCAAGTGGACTTTAGCTTTAAAAAAAAACGTCCGGCTTTTACTTTACACAAGGTTGAAGAAGTGCAATAAGATAGGAAGACATGAGATGTAAAAACGACCAATATTCCCAATGTTAACTAGACTAACATTATCTGGAAATTAAGACCGAGACCCCTTTTAAAATAACCGCCAAAGAGAATATAGATTACAGAGTGAACAGATATAATGATAAATAATAATAAAGAGTAAACAGAGATAATAATTGAATACATAGTTAAGAGAAAAAATATAGAATACAGAGTACACAGAGATAATATAGAATACATAGTTAAAAGAGAAAATATAGAATACAGTGTAAACAGAGAGAATATATAAAACAGAGTAAACAAAGAGAAAATAGAATACAGAGAAAACAGAGAGAATATAGAATATAGAGTAAACAGAGAGAATAATAAATATAGATTAAACTGAGAGCATATAGAATACAGAGTTATCAGAGAGAATATAATACAGAGAAAACTAGGAGAATATAGAAAACAGAGTAAACGGAGAGTAAAATTTTAAAAAAATCTTACTATTTCTTCACTGACGGTAGACTCTGAAGGAAGAATATTTACATACGTAGTTGGAAATATTCCAACCATTCCGTTCCTTTCTCCTTCATACCAATTTCCATCCACCTTAGCAATAAATTTGTCAATAACTTTTTTCTCTATCCTTCATTGTGTTATATTCATCATAATTGAGGGGGGGGGGGTAAGGGCCGGAGGCATTTGGTTTTCCCCATTTCATTTTTTTTCACAATATTTATTTTTAATTTTCAAATTATAAAAGGAACTGAGTTTTTGACACAAACTCAGATTTTCTAACGCCTTTATCGCCCGATGTCGTAGATCATTAGATATTTCAAACTATGGATTCTGTTAGATCAAATATCTTTGTAAGAAATATAGGTTTACAGATGAAGGTATTAGAAAATTTAAGTTTGTGATCAAAACTCAATTGTTTGGCAATAATTTATTATGTCTTACCCTAAAATATTATGGGAAGGGGGCGAGGGGGGGGGGAGGGATAAAGTAAGGTATTTATTTGGAGCCCCAATTTTCATATTTTTTTCCAAAGCGTTAAAAAAATTCATCCTAAAAGTTTTAATTTTAAATTTTTATAATTTTATTAAAGTAATTAAGTCTTTGTCACAAACTCAGTATTTCAAATTCCTATAACCTGTCAGTGTAAACCTGTCAGTGTAAACCTTTGATATTACTTAGATTGCAATGTCTAAAGTCTATTAAAATGGGTTGCAAAGAAATCGGGATTAGAAAATCTGTGTTTGAGGAAAAAAGTCAATTTTTTCTAAAATGATCTTGGGCCTTGACAAGCAGATATTTGCACTTAACTTACAATTTTTATGAATAAACAGAAAACTAGTTTTGACCTAAAGGCAATACTTTGTTTTTGAAAATCCCAATCCTACATTGCAAAATATCTGACAGTGATCGGCGTTTATATTAATACAATGAAGACGATTTTTCTATTCAAGTTTTGATCCCAAACAAGCTCTTTTTAAATTATAAGTAATCAAGTAAACAAAGAAAAAAGTGCTTATTTGACGGATTTTACGACTTCTCTTTGTTTCCATTTTTTTGTGCATTCAAGCTGTTTGAAAGTTTTGTAGAAATAAACAAATTAAAATAGAAAGTTGTTTCATTGTATTGATATATAGGACGACGAATTTATTTACCTGTTTTTTAATGTAAATAATATCTCCCTTTTTGAAGCTCAATTCTCTATGATGCTGGGCCTTTAACAAATAAATATTATTGAAGTTTTAAGCAGTAAATTTGTAATTAATCAAAAATTTAGAAAGGAATTGAGTCTTTGTCACAAACTCAAATTTTCTAAACACTATATGTTTGCCTTATTATGAAAACCTTTAATATTACAAGATCTACGACATTGAGAGGTAAAGATGTATGGAATAAAAAACCAAAGTTTGTGGCAAAGACTCAATTCCTTTATCAGAAGTTTTTATTTGATTTTTATCCTTCAAAATTAAAATTAAAATTTTTGAAATATTTTTTTTATTTTTTAAAATGATTAAAAAAAAATTCTGGTTAATCTGATTTTGTTTATATTTTAGCTTAATACAACTAATATATACAAGGTTGATCTGGTTTATTTTAAATTTCCCAGAAAAGAGATTTGATGAGATTAATAGAGAGTATGAGATTTATATCTACTTAACCTAATTGTATACATGAAAGGTGGAGGGG